TTTTTTTTTTTTTTTTTTTTTTACTATGACTACTGAAATAATAATTTGTCTAGCTTTTCCTTAAGGTCCCCTCAGAAAACATTTTACCCTTCCGTTCAAATTATCCAACCACACAAAGGAAGTTCCAATAGAAATTAAGAGCATGGCTTATATCAGGGTAGTTCAATGTTAAAAGAAGAATGTTTAGGTATCTTAAAGCTACAGGAAACAGAATTCTTGGGGAGGAAGAGAAATAAAGCTCAAATCAGGGAGCTATATCTGACATTAAGACATCTGATAATTAAGTGAACATAACACACTTCCGTAAATAAAGTAAAAATGTCTATCAGTGAGCACTTCCATAGCAAGTCCTCTAGACAGCTGAGCTTTTATGAATATGAAAACTCCAAATTCAATACCTGCTCTTCTCCACAAAACCTAGTCTCACCAGCCCATCATGAAATAAGACACACCACAGAACATTTATTTCATCTAGTTACAGACATGAAAGGGTCATTCAATCCCAGCACAAATGACATTTTCTTTGACTTTGTGCTAAAATCAGACAAACTCCAATCCAGTATATAAATTCTTTTGTTGCTTAAGCTCATGTTAAAATGTCTCCACCATTCAATTATGGACTCAAAAACATCAGTAGTAGAAAACCTTCACTTTCTATTACACATTTTCTTGCATAAAGAATCTTTATTCTCTCTTTCAGTATTTTAAATCTTCTAAGAATACAAATGTCATTGAGAATGTAGTGCTTCAAAAGTATTTGTAACATGTGTTAAAATAACTCTGTAGCACAAAGATAATTTCCATCTGAAATTTCCCTTTGTGTGTGTAAAAAGATCAGCTATTAGCTCCTGTTAGAAATATTTACAAGTCAATAAGACACTAAAATTATGGGGTTTTGTTCTCTTTAAAAAAGCATGGAATTAAGAGTGATCTACTTGATCAAGCTCAGTAATAAGAAATCATTTGTTCATTTTAGATAAAAAATACTATGCAAGATAGGAACAAAAGGTCATAAACCCAAATGAATTTAAAGTTCAGTTCTAAGAAAACGCTTTTCAAAGTACAGTGAAAGCTTCTCCTACAGTGAAGTGAATATTGCACAGAATTTCACTGTCAGCAGAGGCTCACTATGGCCTGGGTCCTGCAGAGAAATCTGCCCATGTACAATCCTGTTGACTTCATGCACAAAAAAGTGCATCTGTAAAACCAAGATCTACGCTGAAAACCACAGCTGGCACATTTCAATACATTGCAACAACTTGTGAAATTCCTTCTGCTTCACTGTGAACAGATCTCCATTTTATCCAAATTCACTTCAAGAAAGTTACACTATATACAGCAATTTGACAAAACTGCTTCAAAATAAGAGTCAATAGTTCAGACTGAAATTCACGCCAAAAATCAGCTTTTCCCATCAGCAAGAATGGTACACAAATAAAAAAACAACACATAAGGAAAACACTAAGACTTTATTAAAAATCCAAAATTTATTGCAAATTGTACTTTGCTTCCCTCCTTTCTTCATTTTTACATGATTTATTGATATCCATGATTTTTTCACAGATGTACTTGTTGACTTTGGAGAGTCTCTGTGCAATTTCCGTTTCATCCACAGTTTCTTGTGCTATTCTGTCGTACAAACATTCTGGAAGAAAAACCAACAAAACAAATCAGGGAGACAGCAATTAAGGATTTTTAAAGAAGACAGTTTAGTCCCTTGCTGGATGCTAGTAAATAAAATATGCTCAAGGCACTGCAGAGCCAGCACTTTCTAAATAATTTGTAAGTTTTAAGTCAAGATTCTGCTGCACAACCAAAGTGTTCTTTGATTCACTGCTTGGGTCATCTATTTGCACAGGCTAATTTTTGCCACACTTGAAATGTTGGCACAATAAGATCACCAATTACAACATGACCACATCACACTGGCTCCAGAAATAGAAACAAGGCTAAGTCCAAACCAAGATGTCACTTCTGCCCATTCTGTCACTGATGCCAGCCTTAACACCTCTATGTGGGCTCATCTAACATCAGAACCTCCTCCCACATATGGAACATCCTTACTAAAGCCAATCTACTCTGCTCTCCTTTAAGTTACCTATACCTTTAAGACAGTGGTGTTGGCAAAATAATGGTTAGGAGGAGAAGCAGCAAGGAGGACAAAGATGACGTTTGTTCAGCTTTTTAAAATTAAGATGCCGTACATCATACATTAATATGGCCATATCACTCTGGTAAGTCTCTTCCCCAGCCTTTGTATCCTACTTGCTTCAAGAGAGTATCTGGGGTGCAGGTGACTTTCCTGTGTGATTGTACAATGAGGTACACTACAGTCTCTACTTGAAGCCCCCAAAATCAACAATAAACCCTAAAAATGAGGATCTGAAAACACTCTCCACTGTCCCAGAGACACTCTGCACTTTCCAGGATCAAATGTGTTCCTATATAGTCAGAAACAGCATAATACTTTCAACTTCTTAAAAATAGATAGATGTTTTATTATACTTCAGTGTAGCTGGAATAAGCTCTATTGTTGTGCAGGCTACTAGTAACAAATGGCTTCCAAGATTGATTAAACCTCTGCTTTGCTTTGCTTAGTAATCAATTCCAGCAGCCATTTATTGCTTCATATACTAGAAAGCTATAGAGATTATCGCTTAATTAACAAGGTTTATAACATTGCTAATGCATCGTATTAAAAAGTTATGAAAATTAAGTACTATGCATGCTTTGTAGTTCATTTTGAAACCTCTCAGAAGTTTTATAAAAGGTTATTTTGCATTAACAAGGTTTATAACAGCGCTCATGCATCATACTTTTTATAACTTCTTTATAATATACTACACAGCAGGGATTTTTAAGCAGCTAGAGATATTAGCCATATTAAAAGCTAATTCTGTCTTTTTAAAAAGTATTTTAAATAAGGTATTCTGGGACCAGAAAACACTGGAAGCATCTGAAACAATGTGAATTTTTATGGACTTCATTGCTTTATATTGAAAAATTTATTGGATATTAAATATAAATAAATAAAACCAATGGGCATGCAGGCTGATAGCTGGGATGCAAATATGCAATAAAATATGATTTGAAATAATACTGCTAAAAATGAGGGGTTTAACTGAAATCCTGAGAGACTCACTGTGTTTAGAGCTGAATATTACAGCATTACAGCAACTTGAAAACACACCTTTCAGCTATAGTTAGTACCAAAAAGGTGGTATCGGACAAACCTATTCAAGGAACCTGCCACATAAATACTGACTAGCGTGAGACTTAACACACAGCTGCAAACAAGAGACGATGTGTAAATGCAATCAGTCCCAAAGTGACCCCAGGGAACCAGGGCAACAGAGATATTCCAGCAGGTCCTTCCCTTTCCCCCCACCCCTGTTTTCGAGGGCCATATAGGGGTGCATCTACATGTGAAATTAATGCGACACAATATGCGCTGGAGTTTATTGCTCCTGGGCACTGCATTTACATGTGCACCCAGGACCGCAGCACAGTGAGCTGGGTTGGAGCAGGGGGCCCAGGGGTCAGCCTACACAGCCTGGGGCTGCTCCAAACCAGCTCAACGGGCTGGCTGGGGCACGACGGGCCTTTAATGAAGATGCGTCCTAGGGGTAGTAATTTACTGCTGACATATGGCTGCTGAACTGGGAACTGAAACCAGTGAGCTGCGTCAACTCCTTCCAGGCCCCTCAGTAGACAAGAAGCCCTATTTGTGCCTGTATAACTGGATCCCATATCCAGTTAGTTTGCAGAGATTGTCAGAAGGAATCTTACCCCTTTTCATGGGTGTCTAATCCAAGTTACCAGACGAGTGAAGCAAGTCCCTTCCCTTAATTTCCTGGCATTCCTCCATTTTTCGTAAAACCATAATTTTTAAACGTCCTATCTGATCACTTTCGAAATTTCAGGGATGTCTCTGGGTAAAGTGCTGAACCCTGTTGGCTTTGGTGAAGATTGGAAAACCAAAAAAACAAGCCAGATTTAGAAGAAACTCAGATTTACAGACTGTCTGATGATGGACATAACAGAAACTGTCTGCTACATCCTGTTGAGGCAGACTCGTGTCAGAACCAGCAACTTAACTTGCTGCAAGGGGAGACTGTATAGGCTGAAGTTTAACAGAAAAACAGAGCCTTAGGAGGAAGCTAAATTGGGAACTGGGAGCAGGGTGTCTAAAGAAAAAGTGAGGAGGAAGGAAAATAATATGGGTGGATGGAAAGCAAGAGAGACAGCTGTTGGGGGGTTAGTATAAAGTATGAACCCAGAGGGAAGAAGGAGTGCTAAGGGAAGGCAGGGACATGGGGGGAGGTGTAGGGACCAAGGTTGTGTGTGAAAGGGTGGTGATGTGGAAAGCAAACACCTGGAGACTGACATAGTGATGGAAGAGAGGTCTTGGAAGGGGTAGCTGAGAATGGTATGGGGGAGAAGTGTGGAGAAGGGTGGAGACCAGAATCTGGAGGCTGGAGGAGTTGGAGATAGGTCTCTGTTGCTTTTCCACCATGATCAGCACAAGCCCTCATCCCCAAGAAATGGCTGCAATCAGAGGGCTTTCTATGGCATCTTCTTCTGCCACCTATATATAGCACAGACATATTAAGCTCTCATTGGATTTACAGTTCAGGGTGTGGGGACAAGAAAATACAAGACTTGCCCTAGACCAATACAAAAGGAGTACTGGTGGAGGCTAGTGACATGTGGTGCAAAAGGAGCCTGATCAGATGCACCCACTAGGCTGCAATGCTTAACGGGTTGATGGTTCAGATACAAGGTATTAAGCAGAGATGACAAACAAAATAACAAGATTCTTGTTTTCTGCTTTAAAGATACACTGCATGGAAAAGAGACCACTACAATAAAACGTGGTAACTTATTGCTACCTGTATACAACCTGGGATCTCAGCACATCTCAAGTATTTAAAAAAAGAAACAATTTTTCCCGATGCCCTCCTCCTTCAAGCTTGTACAAGAAATAGCTTGATAGCTTTTAGTAGCAACTAAGCTCTGCAAAGAGATCAAGAGGAAGCTACTAGCTTCTTGCTTTCATTCCCCATGTACCTTCTACCTTTTACTTATTCTAATCATGCAAACTCCTAAGCATACAATTCACTGTTCCAGAGACTGACTATCCCCCATTAAGTTAGAACCCCTTAGGAAAGAGGTAAGTAGGCTCACAAGCAGTATGCCCAAAGTCTCTCGTCTTAAGAGACCATAATCTATTTATATTCTATAGTAGTGGACACTTTCATGCAGTGATTTGATAGAGGAAAAACATTACAATAACAGCTAACAAGCAGAACTATAAACCCACTGAATCAGTTACCTATAATTCAGACTGCTTTGATCATTTCCAGGAACAATTACTTTGCTAAGTGACTACTCATGTCTCCTGGGGAGAATTACGCAATTATCACCAGTAGAAACTGGTGGGGGACAATCACAGTCACTCACTGGGTTCATTACAATACAGACACTATGCCATTCTTTACTTCTTGTGCTACAACTGCACTGACAGGCCCCAACCAGCATTGCAATGGAAACCTATACAAAGGCAGCCGCAGTCTCAGCCTCAAAATTCCTATAATCTATAGAAACCATGAGACAAAAGAACTGGGCATAATAAATTATGGCAGTTAGGGTGAGGAAATGGCAGTAAGATCACATAATACAGGAATGATATTTCCCACTTCCAAACTACAGCTGCTTCCAAGGTAGAATATAGCAGCTGTTTAACAGCTCAGAAAAACAACACAGAAAACCAAGACACAATAATGCATCTCACTGAAGCTGCTGAAGGAACTTTAGAGGGCACAGCACTTCTTAGCCATAGTGGAATTTGGTCAGGACATACTAGCTAACAACTTAATCTTGGGAAATATTTCACCAGGAATTGGCTCAGTTCTGACATAAGGACAAACCTGTAGAACCACAGAAGACGGTTAGAAGGGAATGTACAATGCAAGCAGGAAGATGCATGGAGACTGAACTTCATAATGTATTTACAATAAAGGAAAAGCCCTGCTCTTTCTCAGCAACATGTATGTAAACCTGAGTATCACCACGACTTCTCTTGACAAAATAGGGTCAGTAATCTACATTTTTGGTCAAAATCTACCTTAAGTCTAGTTGCTGCTATTTAACTTCCTCTAGTGCAAATGGGGAAGGGGAAACAAGGCTGTTTTTCATCTCCCCTTCAACCATGTATACTTTATAGAAAAATGAAAAGGAGTTTTTTCCCATACAAACATTGTGAAATGAGCGATGCTTGTCAAAAGAGCATACATGTAGAAGGAACAAAGGCCAGTCAGTTAAATAATTTTCCTCAAAGCTTGCTGTCCTCAAAACCCATCCTACCTAGAGTCTGTCTGCTGGGAAGTGATGAACACCCTGACCCACCTCTGGCATCAGCCTGCAGAAAAAGGTCCTTTAGGCATTGCACCTTGTCCAGCTATTGAAGCCTCCCCTGCTCTTTTGGGGACAATATGCTTTCAAAAGTAGCTTTTAATAAAAGTTTTTAGTGATGGGAAGATGCATTGCTCCTCAGTTCAGGGTTTAAACTCCATAGCACAGAACTAGTTTTCAAGAAACTTACCTCTGACGATACTTAATTTGTGAGGTGAGAGAGGTGGCTTGGGAACTGCATCTTTCTTTTTTTTGGTTGCAACTCCTGTGACACTTCTGTTCTTAAGAACATCTGTTCCCCAAATCATAACCGCTAGATTTTTTGTGTACTTTGAATCTCCTTGTGTTACTTGCAGCTGGTGCCATTTCTCCTCATCTACCCAGATTCCACTGCCAAGATGGACCTAGAAGGTAGTAATGACAATAATCAGAACTTTGCAACTATAGTATGTAGTGCATAACCATATCCAAGTGCTGTATGAACAGTAGTATTAGGTACTATAATAATAGTAATTAGGGTTGAGCAAAAACTCTAATCCTGAACCCTTTCCAACTTTGTGGGCCTGGAAGTTCAAGTCAGCCTCTTATATTATACAGTTCACTTCCCTCTTTGTTTTTCCAGTCCTCTTACTCTACTCATATGTTATAAACCCTCCCCTGAAAGATTATGATAAAAGAAACAAATATTAGAGGGGAAAAAGACAAGCCATCAAATCCAGTGCTATATTTTATCTACATTTAAGGTGCGAATAGTAAACATTTTCACCAATTCAGACTATTCTTTCTTGTTCATCCTTACTTATGATCTGCTGTAGGGCAGTTGGAATGCTGTTCTACAGAATTTTGTGGGGTTAGATATGGTCTGGTAGGATTCTCTTCTGTGATGGAGAAACTCCTCTCTCTGTCCCAGAGAATGGAAAGCATTTCAAAATAAAGACAGAAGAGGCTGCAGCATTTATGAAAAATGTTGCACAAGGATGCAAATAGATAAGGGGAAAATAGATTCATATGGATACAAGTCAGCAACATGCGTCAGTCTAACCTGAGTGTGAAGAAATTGTTCTATCCTTAGAATTAGTACACAAGCTTCTCTTTTGCAAAGAGAATAAAATTTATTCAAATCACCCTTTGAGAGGTGTTGAGAAGGGAAGTACATTATGAGCCAAATTCCATTCCTGCTGACAGAACTCAGATTGAAGTAAGCTGGAGACCCCCAGTGTTCAAATTACTGGCGTCAGAGGGAAAGAGATGAGCTTCAGCCCCCTGAACGACCTTTAACTAACTACATGTTAACTATAAACCTTCTGAGCCCAAAACAGTTTGCACATTCCAAAATGCCACAAACTGCATCTTGACATTTGTCCTTTCCTACTACCTACCATGGAATACTGCTGCGTTGGAGAACTGCAACAATATTTTTGCAAAACAGTAAAAGGAGAATTGGAGTGTGTATGTTTCCTCCCTTGTAATTCTCAAAGAGTACAAAATCCCAAGTTACAGAGGATAAAGTGTTGTTATATCCAAGAGTCAGGTTTCACAATACTCACTGAGAAAAAGGCTTCTTAACTTTTACATTCTAAAAGAAAGTGTTTGCCTCCCTATGATGGACAAACCCCAAGCAAACAGCCTAATGGTAAAGCTAATCAAGGTTGTTTTTAACATTTTTCTCATTCATATAAACATTTTATCAGTGCTACTAGTAAAGGTTCTGCCCAGAACCTACGTAAGTAACTATTATTTATGCAAATAGCTCTATTGATTTCACTGAATACTGCCCAAAGATACTTTTAAAAATGATATAAAGCCCAATTCCACAGCTTCTATTTAACCAAATTTCTGTTTTACTTTAACAGGAGTTTCTGTTGAGCTACAACTGCAGGCTACAGTCTAAAAACAATTTTTACTATGACAGCATGCTTAAGTTGTAAGTAACATTGTTTAAAACCTTAATAGAAGAAATGTCAACACTCTAGTTACCAATTACTATATGGTAATCAAGCGAAGAGTCTCGCTTTGCTAAAGGCATGAGGACATGAAGCAAACTGCCTCTTCTGAGTAGATTTCTTGATAATTATATGTAGATGAAAAGGCTGCTCACAAGCATGTACACTATTTACATTGTTTTGAATACATTAAAATATTCTAATCATGAGCAGTTATTTTAAAGAATGTGACCATACAGGTGGAGAAAAATGTTACAGACAGATAAGCAGATTACAGAATCCCTGTGACAGCTATACATTCTCTCTCCTTGTCCTCCTCCATTGTTGAGTCTCTTTATAATTAATTTAAAAAAAGAATAGGTTCTTTTGGCTCCACCTTCACATTCTGTAAGACAACTCCCGTCACAGTCAGCAGCCAGAGCTCAGTGTTGATCCGATTACAGGATTCGTTTGGCCTTTTCAAATGAATACCAGTAACTATCCCTAAAAAATGAATACAATGCAGTTTAGAATATTTCAAGGAGATTTTAACTAATGAAAGATTAGTAGCATTCTGAGAGTACTGAGCTCTAGGTTTCAATAAAACCAGAATGCCTCCTTTGATTAGAAAGCTAAGTGCTATGTACACCATGGTACAGCAAAATGTTCCACACTACCATGCAGATTCATTTATAATATAGGTGTCTTGGTCTCTTTAGTCTCTTCAAAGACCATAAAGTGTATCAATTATGCATTAGCTTTATTTAAAATTGTAACAAATATTTTTAAAAGATGTGCATTTCAGTCAGACTGTCCACATTGTGAGGACTCTTAATTTATTTCAAGGAAAAGTTACGCAAATAAATATCTGTGGTCACAGCAGACTATTTGACCACAGGAGTCCTATGTTCTCTTTTCTATTTCCAGCTCTGTTACTAGCTTGCTGTGTAATGTTAAGCAATTAACGTAATCCCTCGTGTCTCAGTTTACCCCTCTGTAAAACGGGCGTGATACTCACCTACTGCTCTCAGAAGTATGTGAAACCTAATACTCCACAGTTTTGAAAGTATTTCGTGATCCCTGAATCAAAAGCACCACAGGCGAGATTGTCTGCCCACTAAAGCTAATGGGAGTTTTGCCACTGATTTCAGTGGCTGTAGGATCTAGCTCCAAGCATGAAATAAGAACAAGCAAAAATAAACTCAGGGCCAGAACACCACAGTGACAACGCACATCTGAGATGCATATTTTTCATAAATGCCACAGGCTCTTCTTTCTTTATTTTGAAATGCTGTCTATTCTGTGGGGCAGACAGAGAAGTGTCTCCAACACAGGAGAGAATCCTACCCAGATCAAATTCAACTCCATTAAAACAGCACCTCTACTGCTCTGTAGGTCATAATTAAGGATAAACAAAATAGTATTAATTGGTGAAAACGTGCAATATCGGCACCTTAAATGCCTCACCAAAAACTGCTTGTAGTTTTGGCAATGGAAACAGTCTGAACCCCAAGGAATATGTACATGCATAATGAATGGTACAGAGTTTTTAGTATTGGTTGAAACTACAGATTAAACTGCTTCTCTGACAGAATCACCAAGGAGTTGATAAAAATGGCGCACAGATTTCTATGGGAGAAGGGCTTAAAAAAGACTACATCCAACAGTACAAAACATCTCCTGCTCCATCTAATAGAAATATATGGGCAGAACAAAAGGTGAGCTCTGTGACATACATTACATTTCTGCTAGCAATGATGGGAAACCTACTGACAAATCAAAGGGAATAAAGCTTATTTTATGCAGTATAACTGGGAAGATACATGAGCCAATTACCTGTAAGATTCTGACTTTTTTTTGTCAAATAGGTACTGTGTAATGGGAGACCTGTGGCCTTATTACCAAGTTAGGGAAGAAAAAGGAAGCCTGCACCTTTAAAAGAGTAAGTGCCAGCTGGGGCCTACTTTCCTTTCAGATTATATAACTCCTGCAACAGACTGAGTGTGTCCAGTCACCTGGAGGAAGGAGCCTGGCATCAAGCTGGGAGGATGGTAAGGAATGCTTTGAGGGATGGGAGACAGAAAAGGCTGTGCCATGTGGGACTGATTCTGGGAAAGACTGCAAAGGGCAGCAGTCCTGGGAGAGGGGACTACCCCCATCAAGTATGTGGGCTCATTTAGGTTTGAGAACTGTGATCTCTTGAGTTAGAAAAAGACATCAGGGGTATAAACTACAATAAGTCCCGAGGCATGGGGTGGCTGTAAGCAGCATAGGCAGGCTGCAACTGTATAACAAGAAAGTGCAGTCAGGAAAGGTAAGACAGGGCTACTGGGGTTGTGAGTAGCAGCCCTACTGGGGATTATCAGGATAGCAGACAGTAGTGTTGAGCGATGGTCTCTCTAAGGTGTGGTGGCCTGTGAGCACGTTGTTTCGAACCATGAGCAGCTTAGAGGAAACAATGATGCCTGCTGTGTTTGCTGGAGGTCCCAAAGCTAGGCATGCCCAGGAAGAAAGGCTGTCCAGGAAGCCGGCTACTAGGCTTCTCCTCCTAAGGGATGGAACTTACAGCTCAGGAGTCTGGCTGCATGCACCGTTGCTGCCTTCTAGTCATCTTGCATTTGCTTTTCTGGGCTCCCAGGATCAGGCACAGGGAAAAGGAGAAGGAAAATGTGCAGCAGCCTAGAAAGCCAGGGAGCCTTTTGTCTGGCTACTGCCCATGTTCAGGCAGATTTCTCTCTCTCCAACACAGCATCGGAGAGAAAGCGGCTGCAAAGATCCCAGCCCCCCACCCCAAGAGAGCCTGGAGCCGATGATGAACGTTACAGGACCTGGCAGGTCAGCCAGTGGGCTCAGCGCACCTCTGAGGCAATGCTCATGTGAGCCTTGGTAAAACACGACTGTGTCCCCGGACAGCTGCCTCCCACCTTCCTGGGACCAGCTGCACGTGGCTGTGCCTCCGCCATCATGTTCTGCTCGGCGCAGGCTGCTTGGGCTCATGCCGCCATCTAGAGCAACTGGGCAGTCCCCTGTGCCAATCCCTGCCAAGAGGGCTCAAAGCTCCCCACAGGGACCGTCAGAAATCCATAATCATCACCCTTTCCCCCTCCGAAAGATCAGGCACCTTCAAGCTGGCAATCCTGACTGGGCGTGCACGGGTATATCAGTGTGCCTGCCCCTCTCCACATCTGCAGCAGCCTGTGGCCAAGTTGGGGCAGATGCACAGCATTAAAAAGTTACTGCACAGCAAGATTTTTTCTTGTGCGTGGTTGCGCATGCACGCAGCTTAGAGGGAAGCTCGGTCTTTAGTGGATTACGGCTGTATCTCTGAGAGCACACTCTGGGTGCAACAAACTAGAGCCTGAGTAATAGAGACAGCTGGGAGCCCTAAGAGTGGTCCAGAGGCCTAGCAAGTCAGAGATAGAGTATAATAGGCAGGCACCCTGGGAAAAGCATGAAGCTTGACTACTGATGGAGAGTGCAGGACCCCAAGAACGCAGTACAGCACGTGGAAAGTCTGAGAGTGGACTGTAGATGTAGTGGGCTACCAGTCCAAAGAAAGGACTCTCTTTGGAGAGTGGACCCTATGATGTGAGAAAACAAGGAACCAAAGCAGATGTCTTCCAACCTGGCCTGAGGGCCTAAACCATTTATAACATCAAAGATGCAACACGTGAGATGCCATGCATCCAAATAGCCTAGGAGTCAGACCAGCAGTGGTGAGCCTTAGGGAGCAGAGCTGAGTTTAAGGGTCCCACTGCCCAAGCTATCCCACTGTCATTACTTCAGCTTCACATTCAAGGAACAAATGAAAATACTGCTGCAATCACTAAGTGTTGCTCTTACAGTGTAATGTAATGTAATGTAAAGCACGTTTTGTTGCAATTTTATGTTAATAATTATTAGGGCCCAGAGAGGCACATGGAACCTCAAACAAACCATTTTCTGCAGGGTTCTCCAACTGCAGCATTAAGTGCACATACATGCAAAGATTGGGAATTTTTATTGGCAGTTCTTCTATGAGAAGTGCTTTTTGCACGAGAAACAAAACATTAATTTAATGATAATGGCAATAACTATAAAACTAGATCTGGGTAGAAGAACAGACAATCTGTTAGGTATGTGCAAGTCTGAAAACATGTATCTGAGAGGTTCTGTCAACTGCAGCTAAATAGTTCTTCACCCAGAGCACAAAAACTCCTGGCTCCACTGAAGTTAATGGCAGAATTCCTACCAAAGTCAACACAGCCAACATTTTTATCCTTGGCTTGAAAAAAATGTCTGACTGATCTCAAATGCAACCCAATCACTTAGGACCTCTGCAGTCAAACTCCAAAAACCTAAATGCACTAAATGATCCTTTTAAAACAGAATATTTCTGTTAAACAGACTGATTTGATATTATAATGTGGATTCTTGCATTTAGTATGATTTCAGGGGATTTAAGTGCACGGTGTATTTAAATTCATGCACGTTGTATAGCTGTGTACATTTATTGTCTACCTTTGCTTTCCTGAAGTAACTTGATCACTCTTAACAATCAGTTCCAAAAACTGTACCTGTCTTTTTCCCAGTGATACTACCTTATTTTGTGAGAATTTCACGAAAATAGTAAAATACTAGCAGCTTATAGTAAAGGTTCCAAAGTCATGTGCATTTGGCATGAAGACTACTTTGTATCCAGCTGAAGAAGTGCATTTAACTTGTTAAATACCTTTCCATTCTCAAGTATATACTTGTCCATTACTGGGACGGGGGCTGGAAAATAAGTTGATGTATTTGCTTCCTCGCTGTATGTCTTCTGTACCTCAGGCTCAGGCTCAATTGATTCTGGTTTTCCTTTTTCAAGCTCTATGGCAGGACCTAGGCAGTTAAGAAAAAAGATCTGTCTGCTGTCCCAAAGAATGTGAAATTCATCATTTTACTACCCAGTGGTCAGCACATGTTAGTCACGTTCATTTTAGAAGGGGAATGATCCAAACTTAAACACTGCCTCAGAATACCCCCAAGTAAAATCTGGATCCATATTGTAAACACTCAGAACTAAACAACAATGCTTAAAAATAAAGATAAGCGTATATCTGGGCAGTTCAAAGAATACCAGCAAGACAGTTTCAATCCCACCCCCCTCCCCCCACTTACAAGAACTCAGTTGAATGTAGAAACCAAAAGCAACAGCAGTGGTTCCCCAAAGCAGAACTATCATGTAGTCTTTGGAAATAGTGATGTGACGCTATAAGATTTCTCATGGGTGAAAAAATTAAAATTAAAAACACTAAAATATATCTCCCTTTAAGAAGAAATATATATAGTCACAAGGGGCATTTTTTAAACATGCACCAGGTGTCTTAAGTAAAAGCACTCGCGAGTCACGTGTATCCGTGTCCCCTCACTGAAAAATGGCGGTGAGGCACTCTGAACTGAAGCTCATCAAACACATTTTAGTTCAAAACGCCCCACTGCCATTTTTTCAGCATGGGGACACTGATACACATGATGCAGAAGGCTGTCAGAGCAAATCAATTCCCATGCTCTGGCAGACTCGATTAATCAAGTCTGCTCCAACGCCTTGGATTTCCAGCGCATCAGAGCAGGCTCCCCGCATGTCTATAGGAGCCTAATGAGCATGCAGATACAGTCCAGAAAAGGAGGCAAATTGGAGATACCTCTGCTAAAATGCATGAATTGATGAAGCATCCAGCACAATTTTTTTAAAAAAACTAAATTAGAATTCTGATTGCCCAATCCATCAGCTCCACTGATTTTTTTTAAAAATGTATTTGAATGTAATCAACAAAAATTAAGCACAGTTTAAACAATGGAGAATTGCTAACCAGATGTTTGAGGTTTCTAAGGAAGATAATTATTTTATCAGTGGCGCCAGATTTTCAGAAATTGCTTTATTTTCCAGCTCAGCTACTACAAAGTGATCCTAAAAGGATAGAAAAACAATACAGTTTGTGAATTGGACTTTAAAATTTCATTAATTTATAAATGCTACATCACCAGTACATACAGATCAGGGCCCAAAATCTATAAGCAGAGTCATGTAAACAGACCCTTGGGTAGCTAGGGAACTGCCATTAAAGCTACTGTGGGTCTGCACAAGGAAAGTGGTCTGCAAATACAATCTCAGTTCCAAAAGTAATCACCTATTCCCTAGAACCACACAAATAGCACTCACGTTCCCTAGACTTCCAGTATGATGGATTAAAAATGGAATGATTCAGCATTGCATAGTCCAATCTATGCCTTGAATAAATTACAGAAAAAATGAGTCAATAACCCTTCACTCTGGCAATGAATCAGCAGCTCTACCTCATTTTTTGTACATGTACACCAAGTCCTGTCATGCTCAAACCTGGTAAGTCAGTTTAGGGCATCAGTTTACAGCCACAGAGCTGCTGGTGCATTGGAAAAAATAAATCAGTCTCTTGGATTACACCTCTTGGACATTCTCTGTATCTGAAATGATTATGATATAGTTTATTCTTTATGCTGTGCAACATCGGCCTGAAAGTTTATTATGCAATAATTCCCCCCATGTGGCTAAACTATGCCAGTATGCGACACAAATGGTATAGTTATTCTGCACTTGGGTAGCAAGCAAGATGATGAGTTCACTGTCGGCTGAAAAAATCTAAAAGGACCAACAGTTTTTTAGGCAACTGTATTTTAGTGACAAAAAATAAGCTTTGCTAGGAAGAATGGGACCAACAGAGAATCTCCTGGAAGACAGCGTATCTGCACCGTAACTTCAAAACAGTGTTCACAGACACCTGTCAGAACATACACACCAAGCCCCTGTAACACCCAAGTAGACTGAATAGTTCCATTTAAAACTGAGAAAATTGAGTTCAGATGTAGATCAGTGGCAACACACTCCTGTATGGGTGGATGTGGTAAAAATGTCCGGTCTCCTTCCAAATGTCTTCCTGACATCACACCTGAAAAAGCAGGGTGCAGTTACACAGCTACTCTAGGCAGACATGGTTCTTTGGGTAGATGCATTATCTTTTATTAGACTCACTAATAAACTGGAAAAAATTGTTCTTTACAAGCTTTTGGGTACAAACTCTCTCCCTCTGCCTAAAGAAAGATGTTTGTACCTGAAAGCTTGCAAAGAACAATTTTTTCCAGCTATTTAGTGGGTCTAATAAAAGATATCACATCTATCTAAAGGACCTTGTCTGCCTATGTCCTTTTTTGGACCAATATGGCTACAACCAACACCCCTGAAACAGCGGCTCTAGAGCATTTTTGGACCAATATGGCTACAACCAACACCCCCGAAACAGCGGCTCTAGAGCACTTAACTATCTTGAGGCAAACTCAAACGGCAGCCTTTGTTCAGGGAGCACAAAGAAAGTCCTCCTCTGGATGTACATACCCCTGTAATTTGGAAGAAAATTCAGGGAGTGGAAAAATATGTAAGCAAAATTCCTTTCTTCCTAGAATGAAACGTGTCTATGTTTAAACAGTACTTAGAGGTCTTTTAACTGTTTGTTTATAACCAATATATTGACACAGCTGGGGTTTGGTTTTGAGATTTCCCCAAAGACTAGCTGGTAAAAGTTCACCATGGCAGCAGCTCGCAGAAACCACAAATATGGATTTTAACTGATGCTTTACTGCTTGAAAACCACCAACACAAAGCCTGAAAAATGTTTTCTCTTATGCCAAAGAAGTTTGGTGTTTGCCTTTCTCCTGAACATAAAGCTGCATTTAACTAGATAGGCTTCACAGTTCCTTTCACTAACTACTGAAGACTGCATTTTCAGCACAGCATGTTGTGAATTAGACATGCAACTCGCGTTATTGCTTTATGGCTAATGGGAGCTGCGTGCCTAATTTGCCACGCGCCACTCTTTAAATTTACTTTTCAAGTTTCTCTCCTGTTGCAGCTTTCTGTGCTTTATTTTGTATTTAAAAGAGGAAAAGGCATTAGGTGGGAGAAACACATTAGCCATTCCTGGGAGGGCTCAAATATGTGAAGATTATTTAAAACATAGTAAGGATGCAAAAGAAAAGGAAATAGGCAGACAAGGGTCTACACCAGGGGTGGGCAAAATGCGGCCTGCCAGGCCATTCTATCTGGCCTGTGGGACCCCTAAAAAATTTAGAAAATTAATATTAATCTGCCCTGGGCTCCTTGCCATGCGGCCCTTGGTAGCTTGCCAAAACTCAGTAAGCGGCCCTCTGCCCAAAATAATTGCCCACCCCTTGTCTACACCCTTAGACCAACACCGCTACAACCTACACCCCTGTAAAGAAAAGGAAAGAAACCTTTCCAGGTCACCAAGAAATCCTGTTTTTTGTTTAATGGGGCTTTTCAGAATTTACTGACTAGGCACCAGGGAACCTCAGATGCAACATCAACAGGGGCAACGGCTTCCACAATCCTTTCATAATGCCTTGATCACCTCATTCATTCAGGAAGGTTTTCCAGGCTACATACAGCTTCTTGAATGTGTGGTAAAACTGGTTCCCCAGGATCCACTAGAATTGGAATGAAAACATTTGTGAATGTGGGGAATTTGTGTCTTCTGCGCAGTTCAGCTCCCACTGCCACTTGCTACCGGGACTGTTTGGGTGCAAATGCTCATAACAGGCAGACCACTTTGAACGCAGCTTAAGCCACAAGTATTCAGATGTACAAGCCAGTTTACAATATTTTCAACCTCCTAGAATGTCTCAAAAATCGACGTGGATAAACAGGCATTATTGCGAACCTGCTCAGTGTTACGTGCACACACCAAGTTTTCTGTGCTGTGGAGTCTGGTCAGTCTCCCAGGCTAAGTACAAAGGTTCAAAAGGCCTGAGGCAAAAATCAATTCAATCTCTGCAGGTTTTTTTAAGCGGTGCAGACTGAACCGACAACAAGCTGAAGGTACGTTCAGTGTTTGGGTGGCCAAGATGAGCAGAAGCCTACACTGGCTCAGGCCAGGAGCCTGGGAGCACTCCTAGGGCTGCTGAACCCAGCTCAGTGATAGCCCAGGCCTGATTGTCTGCTGATAACAGGTGGGGGCATGTGTCCAGCACCCAATTTCTCCCCAGGCCCTGCCTCTGAGGGGGAAACGCATCCTAGGCCTGCGCTGATGCCCACACCAACCAGCCACAGTCTGCACAGCATGGGGAAAGCCCCCACTGGGGGGGGGGGTTTTCACCCCCCCACCCCAGCCCAGAGCTGGGCTGGGATTGCTCCAGGCCTGCCCCTTCCCAAGTCTCTGCCTCTGGAAACACACACTCCCTTGCATCAGCCCTCCCAGCCAGGGTCTGCCCAGCACAGGGGGCTTTTTGAGACTCCACGGCTTGAAGCCAGGCTCAGATCACTCCAGCCCTGCCCCTTCCCCAGTTATCTGTCTCTGAGGGGAGGATAGGGGGTGAAAACGCTCCCACTCCTGGCCTGGGAACAGACCCCCCAGCCAAGGTCTGCCCAGTGTGTGAGAAAGCCCCCCCACAACTGGGAGCCAGGCAGAGACTCCCCCAGGCCCACCCCCTCTCCAGCTGTCCATCTCCAAAAGGGGGGAGGGGCATCTCAACCAAGCTCCCAGCTGCAGTGAGTGGCAGGCTTTCCTCCCATGCCAGGTAGACCCCAGCTGGAGGTCTGGTGTGGGAGGGGATGTGCATTCAGCAAGGAGGGGCAAAAAGCCCCACAATGGATGCTTTCTCTTCCACCAGACGCCAGGTGGGGAAACAGTGCAGGGTGGGAGCTGGACAGCTGGGAAAGGGGCAGGGATGGGGTGATCCCAGCCTGGCTCCAGCTCCAGCCACCCCACTCCCCACCCCATGGGTACTTAACACTGGGCAAACCCCAACTGGGGGGTGGGGATTCGGTGCCAGGGGAAGTGGGGGGGGTGTCC